AAGACAATAAGAAAAACCCGCTATCATGTCAGGGAGGCTGATCAGTCCAGTGCAAGAGTTCTAGTTCACCAAGCCGGTGCCGTAAGTGACCTTAGACTTAGGGAGACATGGGTTCAAATGCAGTGATTCCTAAGTAGTTCTCTGAGACTATGATATTATATGAGTTTATTGGAGTGAAAAGAAACTCCTAACACTAGTGAAAACACAGGTCCAGACCTCTTTTCCCCCTCCCCCTCCAAAATAAACCCCACTAATCTTTCTAACTAAAATTGACTGGAAGCTCCCAAAAGGCAAGGGCCATGTAATTCCTGTATCAGCTATAGTGACTGGAACACCTTACAAGCTCAATCAGTATTTGTTGGTGGATGGGTAGGTGAGCCTGTGGCCATCCCCTGTTTTTCCTTATTGTCATCCCCTGCTGTTTTCTGAGATTATTCTAACTCTGTAATTTGCGGTTTAAGAGCAGTGTCCAGCCACAGCAAACCCTCAATTGAGTCAATTCAGTCAAACGGCCAGTCAATCCAGTGAGGGGGAAAAATCAATTAGATTGCTTGTTTAAGTTGCCATAGCCTTGTTTATCCTGATTAAATTGGTCCTGGTAAAATTTAAGTACTTGTCAACTCTATATGCTTGTGTGTGTGTATGTGGTGGTGGTGGGGGGGAAATGAGAAGGCAATATTTAGTGGAATCTCTCCTGAGGAACCAGAAAGGTGAGTGGCTAGAGCATAGGCATAGACTGAAGAGAAGGTGGAGGCATTATGGAAAGTGTGTTGGACTTTGGCGGCAGGAAGACCTTGGTTCAAATCTTGTACCTGCTACTTATTTGCTGTGTATCCCTGGGCAAGTTGTGCTACCTCTCTGAACCTCAGTTTGCTCATCTGTAAAATGGGCAAAATGCCTACAGCATCTACCTTACAATGCTACCTTGAGGCTCAAATGAGGTAATACATGTCAAGCTCTTTGCAAATATTAAAGCATTATCTAAAGGTCAATTATGATGATGGTGACCTTATTTCTGGAATGTGTGAAAATTTACAGTGTTTTCCTTAAAATAACTCTGTGAAGTTCATAGTGAGAGTATTATTATTCACATTTTATTTATTGTTATTATTTTTATTTATTATTATACACATTTTACAGGTGAAGATACTAAGTTGCAACTTGTCAACAGTCACTTAGATAAAAAGCATTCAAGCCAGATTGAAAGTCTCTGAATTCCAAATCTTGCTAGCTAGGTGGCACAATGAATAAACCCCTGCCCTAGAATCAGGAAGACCTAAATTCAAATACGACGTTAGACACTTACTAGCTATGTGACCCTGGGCAAGTCACTGAACCTCTAAGCCTCAGTTTCCTCACTTATGAACTGGGTATAATAATAGCACCTACCTCCCAAGGTTAATGTGAGGATGCACAGTGCCTGGAACATAGTATGTACTATATAATAATAATAATAATTTATTATTATTATTTTCTTTACATTGAACCACATTGCTGGATAACCATGTTTATGAGTCCTTATCCTGGTCAACAACAGTCATGGAGAGCTAATCCTAATAAAGCAAGTTGCAAAAAAAAATTCTCATTATTGTCAAATATACTAGTTGAGAATTTGTTACAATTCGACCTTTTCTAGGCTGGTGTTTACCTCTGCACTAGAGTGGGCATTGGTGATTTAATGGCTAGTGTAAAAAACGACTGCAGTGGGAATGTTCAAGCTACTTAGCAACTGTTTTAAAGGACTTTATTTCCTTTATTGTTTTGTCTACAAATAGAAGATTGTATAAATAGGCCTTTTTAGGAATTGCAGTAGCAAAAACAGAATAGAGCTATTAGTTTCAGATACTGTTTCCTAAAAAATTTGTTTTGGAGTGGTGTTTATTTGTTTTGTCCTGACCTATGATTCTATCAGGATGGGGAGACCCATGGTGTGGAAATTGCAACCAATGTACACTGACAACTTTATTCCAATTTGTAATCTTAGTGAGTTGCCTGGGACACTGAATAGTTAAGTGACTTGTCCATGGTCACACAGCCAGTATGTGTCAGGGAAAGGACTTGAGCCCAGGTCATCCTGACAGCCACATCTGCCCTCTATCTACTAGACCATCCTGAGTTACTAACTTGAAATGGCATTTTATTGAAAAAAATAGTTTATAATTCAAACTTGTCCTTAATTCAGCCTGACCTCATATCATTTAGTCTGAATCAGTGGGACTTGGCCTTATTCCATATTCTCAGCTCTGAGAACAAATTTAAGTCAGGATCAGAGTTGAAGATCATGTTCATTCTTGTCACTGGAATCTCTGCCTGGTTTTCAATATGATTATTATATAAAATGGAGGGGATACATGCATATCTAATGCAGACACAAGTCTGCCTTTGATCGATTACTGAAGATTGTCAACAACTATATTTCTAGTTAATGCTCATCCCTCTCCCCCCCCATTTGTATAGAGGAGTAGATTTTTCGATTTCTCTTCTGCAGCTTGTAAAGGACTTCATCTTTATCATTCCAAGAGAGTAGGTATTTCTGGCTTTGGAAAGACAGCAGGCACAGACCAGGTCAGGCTGGAGCAGGTGGCTAACAGCAGGATGAGCTCTTCTGGCTTGCCCCTGCCTGGTATAGATGGCCCCTCTGAAGCAAAAGCCAAGAGAGATGCCAGTTGTCCTGGAGGCTTTTTATGAGGAGCCTGGGACCACTGGGGGCTCCAGAGACCAAGCTTATGGTACACATTCCCCAGGAATCCTTTGGACACATCTCACATGACACAATTGCAAATTGTCCAGTCCCATAAGCATCCAAAGTCAGGAACAGCTTTAAGCCTCTGGGCCAGAATGGGAATGGACCAGATATCATAACTGCTATTTATTTACTTTCTAGCTCACATATTGATGCCACAAGGGCATTGTTGATTTCTAAGAAGAGAAGAAAACAAATCCTTGCTTTTATGAAAAGCATCTGAACTAGGAAAATTTAAATTGGCTCCAAGCAGCTGGTTTGCGCAGATGTTGAGATGGTATTTGGACACTGGAAAGATTAAGAGAACAGCTTCTAATGATGTGTTGATATTGTGAGTGATTAGCAGATGAGGAAAGGTCATGCCTAGATTGCCTAGAAGCCTTGAAAAAGTGGCATCTTGAATAATACTTGGGGGTGTGAGTAGACTGCAACACATCACAAATTCAGAACTATGAAAATGTCATAGCAGATAGGACTGAAAAAGAAGGTAGGCCAAACATGTGGCAAGAAGGGATAACGGATATCCAGAGTACAGCGAGTGGGTGCCATTGTCCTCCATGCAAGAAGGGCTGCAAGGATGTTGGGTGGACCCCTTGTGATGAACTTATGAAAGATCATGGATGGGAGTCTTACAGGTTAGATAAGGAGGATGAGTTGGGATCTACATCAGTGGAGCACACATTGATGAGATCACATCCACTATGAGACAATAATATTTGCAATATACTGGAACCTCAACTGCAAAAGGTATAGTTGTTATTAAAAGTTGATGCAAAATTTGAATTATCTGAAGTTCCTTGTCATCTCAGGGCTATCTTGAAATGACTCAAGGCCAGGTTCATAAATGAACAGTAATCCATGTATTTTTTTTTTACAATAGGACAGTAGTGCAGGTAGCAGGATGTTATAGGTAAAATGTAAGTGTTGGTATCAGGAAGACCTAAGTTCAAATTCTAACTGTGACATGTAAGCAGCTTTGTGAATCTGGGCAAGTTCCTGAGAGCCACTGGCATAAAGTGGACAAAATGCTGGCTTTGGAGTCACATGACATGATTGTAACTAACTTATCTGTTAATCCTCCCTATGTGGTCTTAACCAAATTACTTCACTTTTCTGGAACTCAGAAAAAGCCACCTGTAAAATAAAGGTCCCTTCCAACTCTAAATCTTATTCTGATGGAGTCACATGACCTCTATGTACCAGGGACAGAAGTCCCTAGGACACGTGAACTCAGATAGAGAGCAGCCTTCCTAGATCACTGCTGGAGGGGTCTTCTTGCTGAAATTTTGCCACAAAACTCAATATCAAGGCAAAAAAAAAAAAGGCTAGGGTGAATGTGCTTATCATCACTCCTGTGTCTCTAAGGCTGACCTGCTTAAAAATAAACAACAACAATGAGAAGGAAAATCAAACTTGTAAAATCCCAGGCAAACCTCCAGGATGTACCCATGACGGTGGTGTGTTTGTGTGGCGAGTGCTAGAACTACACCTCACCCTGATAGTGGTGCTCACAGAGGGCCGCAGGCTGTCTGTCATGTGATCCACCAATGCCGTCACCAGGTGGGGTGCAGTACAAGGTGTGGCCACCAGATGGTGCTCCAGCTGCCCGTGCATGGCCCACTCTCCCGGCTCCTCCCTTCTCATCCCTCTACTCTCTTTCGCCTCTGCCGCCGGTAAGTCCTTGGCCTCACGTTCGCTAGAGTATAGCGGTATGACCTAGAATATACCCACGAGTTACCTCAGATTAAAAAACAAAACCCAACCCCCCCCCCCCCCCTCGAAGGGGCGCAGGCCCCATGGCTGGGCCTGGGTTTGCTCCTCACACTCCCGACTTCCTGCTGAATTCACAGGAGTGAACAAGTCACTCTTAATGACAGTGTCATGTATTCACAGACTCAGAGAGCGTTGCAAACCCCCCTCCAAAAAAAAGAGAGAGTGAAAGAAAAGATGGTCAAATGGAAAACTGCCTGTGAGTTAGTCCCCTTCTCCTCCAGCCTTCCTCCCCACGGGGGGGGGAGGGGAGGGGGAGGGGGAGGGGAGAGGGGGACAAATAAGCTCAAAACGAGGAGACATTTTCTAAGCAAGTACTCAGAGGAAAGAGGGAAGGGAAGAAGTGGGGAAGCAGGGTTTTGCTTATCTCACTGTAATGGCAGCTACTAGCTATGCCCCCTATCCTCCCCTCCCCTCCCCCATACTAGATGGGTCCATGCAGCTGCTCTCTGTAGCTGCCTTCTGCCTCTCCTTCCTGCAGGGCGCTTGGGCTCACAGGCACCCTCCCAGACCTAGCTCAGTTTCCTCTGAGTTGCCAAGACAGTCATGGGATGTACCCTGCACCTTCCAGATGCTGGTGAAGAAGTCCCAAGGCGGGATTGAGAAGGTGACTTTCCCCTTTTGCTCCAAGCCCCTGAAAACTCAGGAAAAGGAAACGGACCCCTTAGGGATCTGTGACATGCACACCTGCACCACACGATTCAGAGCTCACTGAGTCTCGATCAGGCCTCTACCCTGGTCATGCCTGGGAGGTCTTAGACAGGTGGATTAGATTTGGGTTTTTGTTTCTTGTTCTTTTGGTCACTGTCTTGGAATCACACTGACTGGTTAACAGTCAGCTTTACAAGACAGTTAAACAACTGTGCTTCTTCACAGCCATTTCATTGATCTTAAGCTGTGCCTTGCCTCAAAAGCCCAGTTTTTAAAAATTCAAATAATTTTATAGCAATGCCCTATGGAGATATATATATATATACATATATACATATATATATATATATACACACACATATATATTTACAAACTGTGTGACCTCATTTAATCACCTTGAGCCTATTTTCCCATCTGTAAAATGGGGATAATAAAGCTACCTCTAAGGGCCATCATGAGGTTACACTAAGATAGTATATGTAAAGTGCTTTGCATACTATTAAGTGCTATAGTAATGAGTATTATTATCATGATCCCAGAAGAATAAAAATTTCAGGTGATACAATTATCCAGAGAAAGGTATATGGTGAAAGTAAAACATGAATGCCTCATTTCCCTGCTATTGTTACTTAATATAGTGCTAGAAATGTTAGCATTTGTAGTAAAACAGGTGTTAAAAATGAAAGGCATAAAGATAAGCAAAGAGGAGATAAAATGATCCCTATTTGCTGATAGCGTGATGGTTTACATACAGAATCTTAGGAAATCAGCAAAAAAAAAATTGTTTGAGACAAAGACATGAGTAAAGTGGAAAACTGTGAAATAAATCCATAGAAATCAGCAGCATTTCTATATAACAACAATAAACAAAATCCAAGGGATGATAATAGAAAAGGAAGACCCATTCAAAGTAATCATAAAATGCAGAAAATACTTAAGAGTCAATTTACATTCAGTATTTCTATAGATTGAATTATACATTGCTTCTTACAGAAATAAAGAATACTTTGACCTAGCAATAGTACTACTAGGTCTGTATCCTAAAGAGATTAAAAAAAAAAAAGTAAAAGGACCTATATGTGTAAAAAACATTTCTAGCAGCTCTTTTGTGTTGTCTAAGAATTGGAAATTGAGGAGATGCCCATCAGTTGGGGAATGGCTGAACAAATTGTGGTATATAATTGTGATGGAATACTATAGTGCTATAAGAAATGATGAAGGGGATTTTTTCACAAAAAAACTTAGAAAGACTTATGTGAACTGATGCAAAGTGAAGTGATTAGAACCAGGAAAACATTGTACACAGTAACAGCAATATTGTATGAGAATTGACTGTGAATGACTTAACTATTCTGAGCAATACAACGATCTAAGACAATTCTGAAGGACTTATGAAAAATGCTATCCACCTCCAGAGAAAGAATTGATGGAATCTGAATACAGATTGAGGCATATTTTTTTTTACTTTCTTTATTTTTCTTTTTTTTTTGTTTTACAACATGACTAATATGGAAATATTAGTTTTATATGTTATTATGTTTTATATGACTGCATATGTAAAATCTATATAAAATTGTTTACTTTTTCAATGAGGGAGGAGGGGAAGGACAGAGGGAGAAAAATTGGAATTCAAAATTTTAAAAAGATGGATGTTAAACAATTTTACATGTAGTTGTAAAAAAATAAAATATTTGGGGGAAAAAGAGAAAACTTAAATAGCTAGAGAAATAATCACCACTCATGGCCAGGCTTGTGCCAATATAATAAAAATAATAGTCCTGCAAAAGTTAGTTTATAGATTTCATGTTGTACTAATCAGACCATGAATGGGATACTTTAAAAAGAAGAAAATTCATTTGGAGGAGCCAAAGATCTATAATATCAAGCAAAAAATGAGAAAAAAAAATGAAAGAGAAAGAACATTTCTAGACCTAAGACTGTACTATAAAACAGTAATCATCAAAAACATTTGTTGCTGGTTATTAAATAGAAAAGTTAATCAGTGGAACTGACTAAAAAAGGAAGAATAACAAATAATGGAATTCAGTAACCTAGAATTAGATAAAACCCAAAACATATATTATCCAGGAAAGGACTATCTAATAAGAACTACTGGAAAATCTAAAAAGCATAAATGAGGCTTAAACTAATGTTGTACTAATTGAGACAATTTGTGGCTTCAGCAAAGTTGCAGGCTATAAAATAAACCCACAGAAATAAACTACCTTTCTGTATAATAAAAACAAATTCCAAGAGGCAATAATAGGGAAATCTCACTCAAAATAGCTGCAAAATGCGTAAAATATTTGGGAGTCAGTGAAAGTACAGTTGATATTTGTACAGATTCAATTTAAAATGTTCTTTAAACAAATAAAGAACATCTTAAATACTTGAGGAATATTCTCTAATAAATTCAAAATGTATATGTGTCCTGAATAGAGATTATACCATAAAAAATAGAAGAAAATTAGATCCTATACCTTGCACAGCTTTGGGTAAGGGCTAAGTTCTTCCTCTTCTTTTTTTAGAGTAATATTTTTGTTCTAATTAGGTTTTTTCTTGGTATCTTTTGTTTTTAACCATTATTTCCCAAAGTATTTTCCCCAGTCCCTCCCAGAGATCCACCCCATATAAACATACTATTTTTAGAAGAGGAAAAAGGAAAAGAAAAGGAAAAACATCACCATAACTGATTCACGCACCAAAAAGTCTGAAAATATGTGTAATGTGCAAAACTTGTGTCCTCCCACTTCTGCATAAGGCTAGAATGAGAATGTCTTCTCATATCTCTTTATAATTTCACAACATTCATTTTAGATTTTTTTGTATGTACTTTTTTCCTCATTTGCATTGTTGTAGTCAATGTGTATTTTGTTTTCTTGGCTCCACTTAGTTTGATCTGCATCAGTTCATGTAGATCTTTCCACGCTTCTATATACATATATATTCATCCCATTCATTGCTTCTTACAGCACAGTCACATTCCATTTCACTTATAAACCATGATTTGTTCAGTCATTCCCCAACTGATGGGTATCTGCTTTTTTCTAATTCCTTGCTATCACAGAAAAGTGCTGTTATAAATATTTTGGTGTGCATGAGGGTTTTCTCATCAATGATGTCTTTGGGATAAGCCTAGTAATGGAAATTCTAGGTCAAAAAGTATGGACATTTTAAGTACTTTATGTGCATCATTACAAATTGCTTTCCAAAATCATTATTACTAATTCATAGCTCTACCCAACAGTGTCCTACTGTCCTCTTATCTCACAGATCTTCCAGCATTGAATCTTCCCATGTTTTGTCGTATTTGCCAATTTTCAGGCTGAGTGGTGAAATTTCAGGCTGGTTTTGATTTGAATATTTCTTATTAGTAGTGATGTGGAGTATTCTTTCTTGTGGTTCATAGTTTGCAATTTTTATATCTTTCTTACTAATTTATTTTTCAAGGTTATCAAACACTTGATTATACAGCTAAATTCTTTAATAAATAAAGGATAGAGGCTATCACAAAAGATAAAATATGTAATTGTGTTTAAATGAAATTGAAAAGCTGTTGAATAAACAAAACCAATACAATAGGATAAGAACATAAGCCGCTGACTGGTAGAAAAAAAATCTTTGTATCAACCATCTCTGCTAAAGGTTTGATATCCAAGTTGTGTAGACAGCTAATGGAAACTTATAAGACCAAAAGCCTTTCACCAAAAGAGAAGTAGTCAAAGGATGTAGACAAACAGTTCTCAAAAGAAGAATCACAAACTATAAAAAAATCATATGGAGAAAACGTTCCAGATTTCTAGGTCTGAGCCTTGAGTATAGATAAGGCATAGATGAAGAAGGAGGATATTTCAGTCATGAGAGATGGTCTGCGTAAATACATAGAGGTGCCAGCTAGTAGGTTGAGTTCAGAGAACAACTGGTACTCTAGTTGAGTTGAAATGTAGACCATGAAGCTTAATCAATCAACAAACATATCTTAGATGCCTGCCATGTGCCAAGACATGTACTCAGTGCTGAGGATACAAAAGCAAAATGTCCCTTCTCTTTAAGAGCAATCTCATGAAAATGGGTAATTTTGACATGAATCTGAAAAAGGTAAGTTGGAGCCAGATAGCAGAGGGCTTTAAATGCTATGCAGAGAAGTTTGTTCTAAAGTCTATAAGATATTCCTGAATGCATTTGAGAAGGGGAATGATTTGGCCAGACCTGTAGGAGCCGTCATTTTTATACCTGTGTGAAGGATGGTTGGTTGGTTGGTTGGTTAGAAAGGGGATAGAACACAAGCAAAAAACTCAACCAAAAAATTGTTAGGACGGTTTTAATTTTAAAGGCGATCAAGGCCTAAACTAGAGTAGGAATAGGTGCTAGAAATGTTGTGGCAGTAGAAATGACTGGATTTAGCAACTGAATGAATGTGACATGTAAGGGAGATAGGAGTCAAAGGTTACTCCTAGTTTTCACTTCTGGGCGACTGGGAGGATAGGATGGTGGTACTATTAACACCAGTAGGAAAGTTTGGAGAATGGCTAGATTGGGAGCATGGGGAAGAGGATTAGTTCAATTTTAGACACGTGGAGTTTGGGCTGACCAGGGGGATATGCAGATGGAGAAGCAGGATATGTGAGATTGAAATTCGGGGAAGCTGAGGTGAGTTAATATTGATTTGGGAGTCATAGGTAAAGAGGTGATAATTGAATCCATGAAAGCAGAACCAGGGAAGTGCAATGTCCACAATTAAGGAGTGTTCAACAGGATTAAAGATTCAGAAAGGTCCCGGAGGATGAGGGAGGAGAGAAGGTTGTCAGGTTTGACAACTGAGGTCATTGATGACTGTTGAGGGAGGAGTTTCAGTGGCAAGAGGAGGTCAGAAATCTAATTATGAGAAATCGAGGAGTGAGTGGCAAGTGAGACAGAGACTCTTCCTTCTAGGAGATCAGCATCTAGCATCAAAAG